ATCTTCCCGCCGTCGGCCGCCCTGCCGGTGCGGGTGCGTCCCCGGGGTTCGCTGGGCCCGCGTCGGGAACGCGGCTTGTCTCTTCTGCCCGGGGATCCCGGAGGAGGAAACATTCGGGGTGTTGGGTCTAGTTGCAGTGGGTTATGGGCCCGATGGTTTTACGTGCTGCGAGGGCGTCTGTCGTCGCAGCAGCGAGGGCAGCTGAGGCGGCCCTGCCTCCCAAATGCCTTTCGGAATTGGTGTTTGAGCACCAGCTCGAACCGCCCCCCTTCCCAGGGGTGTACTTGGAATTGGGTGCTCAGGGGGGGAAAAACAACCCTCATCGGACTGAGGGCTCCCATTAGCGTTTGCTGCTGTCGTTATCTTTGCCACCCAAATACCAGACACGGGGTAATTACACATACAGCAGCCGTTCTTGGCTGGTTTTAGTCGCTGGGCTACACCACGTGTAGTGTTCCAGCATTTACCTTTGCCACGACCTGTCAATTTACCTTGCCCACGACGTGGGCTCAGCACGTTGTGCTGGTGCTTGGGTGAGCCCGGAGAGGCCAGCTCTGCTGAGCCCCCGTTGTTAGGGGACGTGGCAAGGAGAATGGGCCTCTGGGCTGTGCCCTGCCAGGGGTTAGAAGGCTCCCCGGGATTCCTGTCCCTTGGAGTCAAACTCCACAGTGAGTTACCCTGCATTGCCGTTCTGTGAGTCTTCATGTTCTCTCTGTCCTTCCTCTGTGCCACAATGGGGTTCCCGTAAGACACAGATTTTGTCATCTGTTAATATGGGAACACCTTCTCATACCTCTCCAGACATGGTTCTCCAAGACTTCCCCCACCTTCCTTATTTTTTCCTGTTAAACATCAACTTTGTTTTTCTCCCCGTGACAGTAAGTGTGGATAGACCTGATTCTGATTAACAGAGTCTTCATTACATGATTTTGACCTTGTTGCCAGGTGGACAATATTTGTCAAGAAAGACCAGATTTGAGGATGAAATTTGTCCTTGGGGAAGTCGGTGGCAAAAGTTGATTTAGTGGCAGAAGGATTTCTTCTCCCCAGTCTTCTTGCAGTAGGCCTCCAGCTACAATGTTTTCCCTAACTGTACTGTCAGGCACCTCAGGGAAGTAAGGTTTGGGTGGAAAGGTGATACTTTGTTTAACAAGGAGATACATTTGGAAAGAAAGAAACAGGCTTTTAGACACATCAGCTCTGAACACCTTTAAACCATCACAGCTTCTAATGAACCAGGCCCTGGAAAATGAAAGATTTTGAAAACATTATTTCAGGAGTTTCAAGAGCACAATGATTCTTTTCATTATGTAATTGAAATTCTGAGTATTCAAAATTATGCTTAATGAATTTTATTCATCACTGCTTCTCCAATTCCTCTTCACTAAACACTGATCTTCAGACTTTGTTTTAGAAATACATGTATGTGAAAGAATCCTGCAATCCTTACTCCTAAGTATCTTATCCCAAGTCTCTGAATTTGTTGTATCTTCTTTTCCAAGAAACTGATTCTGACCCAGACCATTAGGCTATGTTTGTATTAAGAGTATCTGCCAATAAGGTCATAATAGCAAGCACTCTTAATATGTACATATTTACTAATGTCATTATTTATTTATGGTGACATTTTATTTATTCTTTAGTTCTATGCGTATTTATATACACATAAACAATAGAACCTATAAAGGCAAAAACACTCTACTACTTGTGTAACTGCATATTCTTACTGACTTTCATCAAAACAAGAAAGTCACTAAAAATCCACCCCGTGAGTGACAGAGCAAGAATGCCTAAGGTGGACCTGATCAGAGTCTTCATCTCCCCCAGGTTTGGTCCAGTGTTTATTGCCAGAATCAAAGCAGCAGTCTGCTGCAGAGCATGACACATCAGGATGGGCACCACAAGGAATTGACTGTTCTACTGCAGCTTTTCTTTGACAACCTTGTCAAAGCTCATTCAGCTTCAAATATGGCAGTCCTGGTGTCCAGCTTCTCATCTCTTCTACCTCACAATATCTAGAGGACAGTCATAAGAGTTTGCTTGATCCCTCATACTCTGATTTTACCACAGGGCCTGTCTACCTGAAGGGTACTTACAGCAAACTTTGTTATATTTTCCAGCATCATTTTTCCATGTTTGTGGCTTCTAGTTAAAAAATTATTTTATTTTATTTTATTTTTTTCCATTTCTCAGGCACGGAGCTATTTTTGTCAGCTGGCTTTTTTCTTTTTTCAGCATGGATGATTTTACAAAGGAACTTAACACAAATAAAATTAGGTATTCCCCCTCTACTTAATAATAACATCTTACATCGCTTGAGTGTGTAGAGAGTAATTAAGGAAGGGAAGAGACACGTGCCCTTCATTAGCACTACAATTCAAGCATACAGTCATGCAATCGAAAATGTTATTGACACTTCTCCTTGAAAAATATTGTGATAGCATCACTACCTTCCTCTAAGGGCAGAGGAGGCAGTTTCTTGACTACATGTGTGCATAATTTGCATTCTGCCTGAGATACAGTAGATCTTGCCAAGTGAGCAGATCACAGGAAGAGTCTCTGGTCTCAAGTCAGGCAGGTACGCCATCTGGTGTGGAAGATACAGAACTAAATCAGATACCATTGGAGAGAACTTCAAAAGTATATGAATAAAACACTTCTCCTAAAATATTACCTCTTCTGGAGTTTTGGTTTTTCAGGAGAGAAATGAGCACAACTCAGGCTTCTAGCCCAAAATTCAGTTCAAAACAACAAACATGGTACAGAGATCAGCAGATTTTTCTAGGCTTCTTTGCCCAGTTCCAGGCTACATCAAAAGGACCCAACAGGAGTCAACTGTAAGATGGAATGTGCAAGGGGGGGAGGGAGGAGAGGTGAGTTTCAGGAGGAATAATGCATATCTGCCCACAGACAGAGAGTAGTCCCCGCATCTCATTCCTCCGTTGTACAGCACTTTCCTTGAGCACACTATATTCATAAGAAGTACGCCAGGGTTTCTCCTCTCTGATTTTGGGCTAACAAGGCAAACTTCTCAAGGCTCTGTTTTAAGTTCCTGCAGACTCAAACGCAGCAAGATAGCAACCTCCTACCCAGCCCTGCAGGAGTAGATGTAGATAACCTCTCCACTGATCATACCAAGCAAGACCTGTTGAGTAGAGAAGAAAATCAGGATTTGCGACATTGCCAATTGCTGCCAGACTATGGAAGAAAGAGCAGAGTATGGCCACCTCCGAAGGGAACTGTGGAAGTTACCATTCTTTTGCCAGGTATGACAATATGGAAATATCAGCAACATTCCGTTTACCTTGCAAATTCCAAAATACCAATGGTTTAACGCAAGAAATACTTTATCTGTTACTAATAGGGCTTCCTACTCTTTGTCACTGTAAAGTTCAAAAGCTTTTAACCTGTAGGTGGCACTATCTAATAAAGTAAGGTGTGCTTAAATACTATTTCCCCCCTACAGCTGCAGTTCTTATTTAAAATGTAAACCAGTGTAAATTTGAATACGTTGAATGCAGCTATTAAATCTCAGCTTGGCAATCCTCTTTTTCTGAATCTGTCTCTCAAAGTCAGTAAGATTTACTGCTGTGAATCTCATTTAAATACAGTATTTTTGCTTTCCGAGTGCTATGCAATATATTTTCCTGGAAAATTATGGTGCATCACAAACTATTACAGTTTTTGTTCCCTCTGTGAACAGAGAATAAACCAACATAGGCTGTGTTTACTTTAGCAATTCACTTGGAGCAGCAGCAGTTTACAGCTGTAAACAGCTGCTGATGATGTTCCTCAACATCTCCAGTGTGTTCTCACACAGAGGTTATTTTGCATCAGGTTATACCACCCGTGGTACCCAGTACCACACGTCTCCATTACACATTCTGAAACACCATGAAGTAAAGCACTCTCTCAAAACTTCATCAACCACAGGACTCCTAGGAAGCAGCATGTTCCACTTTCACCTGTCTCACAGAGAGACGTTCCACACTAGCCTCCACTGTCTACATAAAAACTTCAAAGGCAAAAGGAACCCTTTAATTTTCCTCACTCCTACAGTTTCTGAGTGACAATGTTTTACTTGTTTCTGATCTTGTTTTCCACTGAGATTCTGGAACATGTATTGCTTGGTGGTGGAGGAACATTAACCTTCACCCTGCAGCCACAGTAGCAGTGCCAAGGCAATATCTTGAGTGAGCCCTTCTCAGACAAAAAAGTGAGGCAGAAAATCTTTCTGGCAATGCTGTGACACTGTGACAGCTTTGCTCACAGTCAGAGATGTTGAGCCTGGGAGACAAGCTTAGACAGGCAGGACTTCATCATCACTGGGATGTGGAAAGAGAAGAAACTGGTGCAAAACTTCTGGGTACAGGGGGTGCCACTGAGAAACATAAGAACAACGGAGCATAATTGATTTGGAGGAATGATACCACAATATCCTCAATAAATTTCTGATTCCCCTTTTGAAAAGAGGTGCTTGTCTTTTCCTGACATCCTAGTAGCTGATAAATAACTTCTTCACGGCATCACGTGCCTTCCCCTTTCCTCATTCTGTATCTGCTCTGATTTTGCTTGTATATGGCATTGTTACGAATTTTCTCTCCATTTGGCTCTCATGTTGCCTCCATGATCTTTTTCTGCTAATGGGGTTTAAGTCCAGGGATCATCCAAATTGTGCTCTGTTTTAGGGCTTTCTTAGAATAAGGAACAAAATAATTATTTGACATCATCTTAGTAATTTTTCCCTTCTGGTGTCATTCAGAAGACATTTGTGCACACAGCCACAGTTACACTGTAAACCAAGGTAGTTGTGAAAGGAAAACTATACACACATCACCATACATTTTGGGTTGTTTACTTTCCTGTAGAAAAGGCTCACCTAAGTCTTTTGGAATATTGGTTTCCACTTAAATGCTCAAATTGACAGAAAAGCCTTTCTTTCAACAGAAGTCTACCAAGACCCAATCCTTAATTTTCAGAGGGGTAAAATTTCCATTGTTGCACAGTTAAGGGCAAAAGCATCAGGTCTCTAAACCACTTTGTGATTACATCAGTGCCTTTTAGCACAAGCAGGAACTGATCTATCCATAACAGTAAGATGTCTGCATGACATACGTATTTCTGTCCAACCCCTCAAGCACGACTTCATGATCTTGTACATTGCAGAGCACTTCAACGCTTTCTGAGATGGCAAAATAGAAAGTGAATGTACCTGTCTCAAATCAGTGGCTTTGAGTAAACACTAGTTCTTGCAATCTGGTCTTCCTGTGCCAGCCTAAGCTGATACCTACATGTTGTAGGGAAGTCTAATGCTTGATATCCTTGGTATTGCAACAGTTAGGAAGCTGGAGTTTACTGAAAAATTATGTCTCCAGGCAGGAATAATCTATAAATCAGAAATGGAAATGTAGCTACATTCTTACTAATGACTTGTTTAATCTCAGTTTCTCCAGACATTCCAAAGGAGATGGTTTCTCTTTTAAGAAGTTTAAACCTACTCTTTTTTCCACTAAAGATACAAATTCAGTATTTTGCTGATAAAGTCTATATGAGATATTGCGAAGCTGAATGAATGCGTTCAGTACAGTTTTTCTACCTTCACACAGAGCAGTAAAATTTTTATGAGATTAAGTGTATTTTTTGTGTCATAGAATTTGCTGAACGATGTTAAGATTACTCTGATG